CTAGGAGATGGGATTATTCTATTTTATATTAAACAGTTATATGTCTTATATTGAGATTTCAGGCTATTGGGGGGGATTTTTCCTGTAGGCTTCCCCATAGTAAGTGAGAGTATAATCTGATCTCTCTGAGAGCAGTAACATATGTTTGTTCAACCAGTAATTTGTGTTGTTGTCCAGAGCTGGAGATTGGCAAGACAAGACAGCGGAAGACCGATGGGGGAGGGACTCAAAGATGCCCTGTACAGCATCCCTGAGGGGTTGGAGGTGAGGCAGGTGAGCGCTAATGATTGGGCTCAGAGGAAGAACAAGGATGGGAATTTCCAAATCAAGGTCAAAGAGAACGGGAAGTGAGTGTTCTGTGAGCCTAAGCAGTTAGAAGGGTAGGTGACGGCAAAGTTTGTGTGTGGAGCAGCTCGCAGACACAGGAGGTCCAGATATGGATTATGGAGGAGAAGGGGGATAAGAGTCACAGTTCTTTCTATGTCTGTGTTGACTTCCTCTTTTGGCTTGAAAGGAATAATAAGAGATCAGCTCATCTCAAAATATCTCAAGAAAGGTTCCTTCCTCTCTGCCTTTTAAAAAATACCCAAAAGCCTCAATTTAATTTGCATATCCTCTAGGCTAAAGGAAGTACTTTAATCAGTACTTCTAATTGTGGAAAAGAAGGGAACATGCCACCACTCACCCACACACCGATCAGATCATCTGGTAATGAAGAATAGATTTCTCCCACATCAGGGCCCAGGCTGCTGCTTTCTCCACTGCCCTGCTCAGACTCCAGATGGTAGGGCAAAAGTCAAGCCTTCCACTGTTATAAAGAGACTTTCTATTTCTTACCCTCCTTCCTTCCTCTTTCCTTTTTCATTTCTGGCTGGGGAACATGCTCTCGACAGTCTCACAGTATATCTTATCTTGGAAGGAGTTTGCGCTGATCACTTGCATTATTCTGAGCATTGTCGTATGCGCTGAACTTGGTAAAGGCAGTGACAGAAGTGGGGCCTCTTTCTTGCGGTCCATACCTCCAGTACAGGTGCATCGCTTCATCTAGGGATGCAGTAAGGAAACAAGAAGTAAAAGACATGACCTCTGACTAGGCAGCTCAAGCAAACATAGAAATGCCACTGTATAAAATAATTATACCTGGTCCAAAATTCACCCAACCTAAGTGGTTTTATGTTTTTGAGAATTAAAACTCATAAAATGCTTGAAGTCGAATGGTACTGAGATGTTTTCTGGTGCCAGGAGGGGAGAGGGAGCACTGAGGGATAGCTTCCTGGATGATGGGGACTTGATCTTGACCTTGTAGAGGAGAGTAGAATTTAGGGGAGAGTATCAGTGTGTGCAGAGACATCTTCTCCTCACACAGGGATGTTGTTTTTGCAAAAGCTCGGAGGGAGAAATGCACCCTCACTTTCTGAAGGACGTTAAGGACACTGGGGTGTGTGAAAGAGTTTGTGAAGGCACCTCAAGGAAGTCAAATGCACTGGCGGGATGACTCCAGACGGCGTGGCTCAGTGACGTTAGCCAGGGACTAACAGGGCAGGCTCCGTGGGACAGACTCAGAGGTTCCTAATGTGGCTTCTTCTAGTGCTGTACTTCTGAGGATCAAGCACTTTAAGCACACTTTCCTTCCTGCTCCTGAGGTTCGTGACTTGAGGCTAGAAACTTGCTGATGGCCTTGAGGAGTCCACTGTTTCTTTATTCAGAAACATTCTACTTTGTGCTTTTCCTACTTTGTAATATTCTTAAGCAGGGCCAGAGGTTGCCTTGAGCTAAAGCCAGGATGCTTTCCAAACAGTAGCAACATAGAATGCTATAAATGGCAGTTCCTGTCCCTCTATACCGAGCCCAGGAGTCATGAAAAGGTTGTGTGTAAGGGACAGAGAATATCATTTACAGCTTGCACCATGGTGGCTGTAAATTTTAGTTGATTGTACATACAGCACAACCTCCATGATTCTGATGATTAAATATGGGAGTAACACTTTTCTTTTATTCCAGGGGAATTGATCCTTATGACAAACCGAACACTATCTACATTGAACGGCATGAACCCTCTGGCTACTCCACGGTTTTCAGAAGTACAGACTTCTTCCAGTCTCGGGAAAACCAGGAAGTCATCCTTGAAGAAGTGAGAGACTTTCAGCTGCGGGACAAGTACATGTTTGCTACAAAGGTGGTGGTAAGTAGAACACACGAAAGAACACACTAAACTGCTTGAGAATCTCCTTCGTGAGGTTTGATATTTTGTGGCCAATGGATGAGTTCACATAGCAGAACTTGATTCACTTGATTCTGGGCGTGGGTGAACATTTCCAACGGGCTTGGAAGGTGCTGGAGTTTGGAGGAGTGGAGAAAACTTGGACAAGCACTCAAAGTGTCTCCTGGTACCTGAGCCTCCTTGACTCCGCAGAAAGGGGTTGACGATATAGCTCAGTAGTAGAGTTTTTGCTTAGTATGCATGAGGCCCTGGGTTCTATCCCCAGCACTACCAAAACAAGCAAACAAACAAAAACCAGAGAGGTTTTTTTTTTTTTTTTTAATCCTACTGGCTGATTTTCTTTAAATTTAGCCTGATTTCTTTGAGACTTTTGGACCCATTAATTTACATGGCTAATAGGGTGCGTAGTCATTGGCTAGTGTGAGTTAATGCTCTAAGAAAAGCTGTAATTAAGCTTCCAGCTGTCAGTAAGTAGCTTACCTCTCAGCCTTTGGGAAAAATTTCCCCTTGATTTGATGTGTTGGAGCCAGATGCCGAAATGGAGGGCTTTGTTCATTTAAAACGAGTTGATTATTTAACAGGAGTTGCTGTACAACTGTACTGAGTTCGGCCCTTATTGCCCTGGTGTAAAGGAAGGAAACCAGGCTCTACCAAGTGCATATTGGGTCTGTGTTCTTGGGGCTGCAGGTGATGGCTATTTCCTTGACTCAGGCTCTATTAAAGGCCTCTGGTAATCTTAGGGATTGAAATTAGATATAATGCTTCTCTCTAGGTGTTGGAATGAAGGTTTGTGCCGCTGTACTCAGCTGTTATGTTTGCCTTTATTTCTATAACTGGTAGCAGGCTAAGGAAAAGTATTGCAGATTAGTATTCTTGGTAGGATGTGAGGGTCGAGAGAGGACCTCTCCAGCAAGGGAAGCATAGAAGGTCAGAATGAAAAGAGAGGAGTGGCTAGAGGCAAGAGGCATTCCCTGTTATGTATCTTGATCTTGCAAAATGTTTTTAAAAACCATGAAACTGCAGCAATTTTTCTTCTGTCAGGTGTTTGCATTGACTCTCAGACATTGGATCACTCCGTCTCACCTGGCTGTCTTTATCTTACACACATACACATGCACACATGCACACAACACACACAGAAGAGCCCAAGAGCACAAGCGTGCTTGCATTGCCTTGGGCAGGATGGAGTGATGAGAACACACAGGTGGAAATCAAGCCCAAGCGCTGGTGTCATCATCACCCTGTGCTGGACAATCCTAAATTTCAGTGTAGCTTTGAAACCTTGTGCCCAGTTCTCCGTGGTCACAGGCCTTTTCTATTTGAGTTTCTTGGCCTGGAGTTTTAATTTCTCAATTGTAAAACACAGCAACTGACCTCCTGGTTTGCACTCCTTTTCGACCTTAGTTGGGGCCAGGTAGGTGTCTACTGCACCTATTGGTTACGCCATTATTCCAAGATCTCATACTCATGGGTTTAAGTTATAAGCCTGTTGGAGATTTCTGTGTCTTCCATTCCAATCTAACAGCTTGTTAGAGTCCTGCAGTGAGCTTTTATTACTCCTTTATTGCCAATAAGATGAAGGGACATACCCATTTTGATCTTCACTGATAGTACCCAAGGTCTTACACAATACTTGTTACATAGCAGGTGTGCAGTAGAGTTGAATACATGCATTTTTAAAAAAACTAATTTAAAAAACATATTCTGGCACATTTTTTTAAAATTTGGTGAGGGGATAATACATCCCTGGTACTTTATAGTCAACTTTCAACTCTCCCTATGTCAACTATTTACCTGCTATTGGTAGAAAAGTTGGAGTTATGTGTTGGCTTCTCCCACTGGCATATGTCTCTTCTGTGTCCTCACAGAAGATGTTGTGCCGCACACATTGCATGATACAGAAACCGTGTTCTAGAATAAGCACTGACAAACATTGGGCCACCTCCTGCTTTTGCTTATGTGTGATCTCCAGCTGCTTTCATACCGTAGTGGGAGAGCTAAAGAGCTGCAAAGAGGCAGTGTAGCGGCCAAGCATTAAGTATCTCCTCTTTGCACCTTTACAGATAAAGTTTGCTGACCCCTATTGTCTGTTACCCTTTCAGCTGGCATCAGATAACCAGAACTGCAAGGTTTTGACAAATCTGAGGCATGCTACTGAACAGTTCAGGTAACAGGCCTCCCTAAGTGGTTACACTCTGCTAATTTCAGGGTGGAGTCTTTAGAATATTAAGGCCATTACTGTATCTTGAATGCCACTGATCTCCTTAGCAAGAGCCCATTTGTATTTTCGTGCTTCTGACTAATCAACCACTAATTTCACTACTGAAAACCCTTTTCTAAGTCTTTATTATGCTAACTGAAAGTCTCTAATGTTGCTCAGAGATAACAGAAAAGCTCACTGATTGCCTCAGGGCTGCGGGCTTCTAGGTGAGAAGTTTGTTGGCCAAAATTAGGGTACAAATTTGAGGATAACTGACCGAAACCAAACTATTGACAAATTATTTTCACTATGATATTACTTAAGTGTATGCAAATACAGAGGCAGGAATAAGTGTCTAATGCTTATAGCTTTCAAATAAGCAGTAAAACCCAAACATTTACAAGTCAAAATTATAATATCCTTTGAATAAAAGTTAATATTAATATGTTAACACTTAGTTTATGTGTAATTTACATAGCATAAAAATTCCTTTTTTTGTTGTAATGAAAGTTGAAAGCAGGGCCTTTGCAAAGAGCACCCAGCTCGTCTTAAAAGTTTTTATTTTGAGACAGGGTCTTGCTAAGTTACCCAGGGTGGGCTCGAACTTGGGGACCTCTAGCCTCAGCCTCCCAGAGTGCTGGGTTTACAGGGTGCAGCAGCATACCTGGCTTTATAAAAATTCACCGTTGTTAAGGTTATAACTCAGTAGCTTTTAGTAGATTCACAAGGTCATATAATGGTCACTACTGCCTAGCTCTAAATATTTTCATCACCCCTCTAAGAAACTCCATCTCCTTTGGCATACCTTTCCTTCTCCCAGCCACTAGTAACCACTAATCTACTTTCTATTTGGGCATTTTATATAAAGGGAACCATATAATACATGGACCTTCATGACTTTCAAAAATGATATAATGCTTTCTCTTTTCATCCAGCTTGTAGCATATATCATTATTTCAATCTTTTTCTTTATTTTCTTCCTTTTTTTTGGAGACAGAGTTGCTATGTAGTAGACTGGCCTTGGATTTGCTATGATGCCCATGCTGGGCTGGAATTCACAGTTCTGCTGCTTCAGTCACACCAGTGCTAGGATTATGAGTGTGTACTACTGTGCCTGGCTTACATCAATCATTTAAGATGACTGAATAGTATTTTCTTATAAAGATAACATGTTTTATTTGTTGATCCATTAGTTGGTGATCATTGGGCTGTTTCTACTTTTTGGCTGTTCTCACTAGTGCTACTGTGAACATTTAGGAGCAGTGTTTTTAGTTTCTATTGGGCCTGTACTTAGAAGTGGAATTTCTGGACCATATTGCAATTTTATGTTTAACTTCATGAGACACCAATTCTTTTCTAAAGTGACCATACCAGTTTATGTTCCCACTAGCAGTGTATGAAGTTTGCAATTCTTTATAGCCTTCCAACATTTATTTCAGTCTTTTCGTTATAGATATCCTTGTGAAAAGTGGTTTTGATTTGTAATTCCTTATAGCTAATGATATTGAATATCTTTTCGTGTGTCTGTTGACCATTTATTTTTCTTCCTTGAACAGATGTCTCTTCAAATCCTTTGTCTATTTTTAGTTTTTTAAAAATTTTTTTAATTGTTGAGTTCTATATTTAATCTGTGTTATGTGTATAAGATGTGATTTCCCAATATTTTCTGCCACTTCATGGTTCTTTTCATTTGCTTCCTGGTATTCTTTTCTGCACACAGTTTTAAAGTATGATGAAATCCAATTTACCCATAATTTCTTTTGTTGCTTGTGTTATTGGTGTTTTATCTAAGAAGTAATAACTTAATCCAAGGTCAAAGATTTCCTTAATAGTTTTATAGTTCTAGTTCTCATAGTTAGATCTGTGATTCATTTTCAGTTAATTTGTGTGTATACTGTGAAATGGATGTTTACTTTGATTATTTTTACACATAATCAGTTGTTCCAGGACCTTTTATTTAACAGGCTATACTTTTCCCTTTGAACTGTCTGGGAGTCTTTGTTGAAAATTAATTGACCATAAATCTAAGGATTTAGTTTTGAACTCCCAATTCTATTCTGTTCTTTTGTATGTCTATCCTTATGCAGCACTGTGTCATCTTGATTACTGTAGCTTTGTAAGTTTGTAATTTGGAGACTTTTAAAATTTTGTTCTTTCTTAAGATTGTGTTGGCTCTTTTGGTTTCCTTGCATTTCCATATGTATTTTAAAATGAGCTTATCCATTTTTGCAGAAGAAGGCAGAAAGGATTTTGATAGGGATGGTGTTGATTCTGAAGACTTCCGAATTTGTCTTCGTAGATATAGGGTATCTATTTAGTCTGTCTTTTATTTTTTTGAATTGTGGTTTTTAGTTTTCAATTTACAAGTCTTGGACTTCGCCTGTTAAATTTTTTCCTTAAGTATTTGATTCCAGTATAAATAATTCTTTAATTCTTCTCGTAATTAGGTCTGTTAGGACTTTTTTTTTTTTTTTTTTTTTTTTTTGGTGGTGCTGTGGGTTGGACCCAAGGCCTTGCACATAAGCAAACTGAGCTGTATTGTCTGCCCATCCCCCTTTTTTGAATTCATTTTCTCTTTTCCTTACCCTGAATCATTGCAGTTGATGGTTCTTAAAATTTACTGCTGCTTTTTTGTTAGCTGAGATCTGCTGTTGAAACGCTAATGAATGTTTTTTTTGTGTGTGCTATATTTTTCAGCTCCAGATTTTTTGTTTATTTCTCTTTTATAATTTCTTTCTTTACTAACATCTCTCTGTGATAA